TCCCTCCCTCCCTCCCTTTGCTGTTAAAGATTTTAGACAAACTCCTAGACAGAGAGAGTCAAACTCACAAACCACAGACTCTGAGTTCGTTCTACTCATCCAGCAAGCCTACAGTAGCAAATCAAAAATCTCCTTCCAAACACGCTGCCCAGTCCACTGCAGCAATCCAGCAGCTTCCAGGGACTTCTGTCACTCAGCAAGCTGCTGTAAGCACTGCAGTCCAGAGCAGTCCTGAGAACTTCGTGGAGAAGAGTGCACAGGGTAAGAGGTGCTGTATAAGGGCTATGCTGAAACCCTTCTGTTATCAGTGCAAAACTGTCACTGTACGTTTTTGTCTGTGTTGGGAAGTAGTCAGAGTGATTTATATTAGCATTTGGCTGCTTGGTGGTTACTAGAATGTCATTCCCTGTTACCTGTTTGCCTGGATCCATTTTGGTCCACACTGTTGTTGCATAGAAATTCAAGCTGATTTTCAGGTTTTCCTATCTTAAGCCAGTTGTATAACCAGTTAACATAAAACTACTGTGACTCCATCTTTTAGATTTGTATCACAGAGGTGCAATATTTCAAAAAGTGACACACTGAGTCAGGTACCTTCATGCAGGATAAAAAAACTAAGATTGCTGAAGGGCATTAGAGATAAATGTGTTTTTCTTCAAGCTGTGCCTCCACTTTGGTGCAAACATCACATACAGCAGCATTTGGTGGGAAGCAGATGCTCTCTTAACTCTTCCCAAAGAGATCAATACTAGTTGAGGATGACTGCAATAAGGTCACAGTTGATGGAGCATTTTTATTCTAAAATATTTCCATAGTTGCAGCAAATTTTCCAAATCTTGAGTTGTTAAGATTAAATGTTCTTGGCCTGATATTGGATGATATGCTTAATACTGAAAGAAAATTGAGATAATCCTGGTCATAAATACCACTCATTTTATTAAAAATCCTGCATCTTTTGATGTTTATATCTTTTAAATGGCCACACCTGGTTTTAGAGATACAGAAACAAATCATAATGTTTACCATGTCACTGTCCTGTTTATGCAGAGAGCTCTCAGAGGTCCCCCTGTGAGCCAGCTGTGGAGTCCACTGTCTTGAAACAAGAGGGAAAGGTCCCCAGTCGTCTGGCCCTTGGAAACCGAGGTGGATACAATGGGAGATGCTGGGGTTCACCTGTCAGGCAGAAGAAGAAACACACAGGTAAGAACTGACTAGTTCATACAGCATTTAGTGTTGTGCTAGGTTTTGGCAATTCCCTTGCTCTTTCATTCCACTTCTCAGCCTTTCCTGTAGTGCAGTAGTAGTTGATTCTCTGAGATGTTTGGCATGGAGAAATAGGTTTTGCTCCACAGATTTCCTGCCCCCTTCTGTGTGGCAAGTTACCATACCTTTCTCACAACAGATAAGTTCTGGGTGATGGATTAGATGTCTGGAGCTGAATGACTGCTGGGCTCGGGGAGCGGAGCACTATGCTCCTGGGTCCAGAAACAAATTCAGAGGAGCTGCTGCCTCTCTACACTTCTCTTGGGAAGGGTATAATTTAGAGGCTGAGGATGTGATGAACCTTTGTGTAAATTGTGCAGCGTGTACCAGAAGGGTTTTCTTCATACTCGTACAATCTGTGGAACTTGACTTTCTATGTGTATTGGCTTCTTGTTGTTATATTCTGCCACAAAGCTTGGCAGATGGAATGAGGGGGTGGGATGGAGTGAAGGGGGAAATAAAGTTAAATTGTTCTTGGACTCTTACGCTTTTTAGTCCAAGAATTCCAAAATGACACTGATATCTGTGGCCAAACTGACTAATTTAAATCTCTCTAAATTTGCAAAGTTGAATGCCTGGCAACTGTAAGGCTGACTGTCACTGACACCACTGATCTTAGTTGGGACTGTAGGTGATGTGGGTAGGAGTTTACCTACCCACATTACATTTACCAACCCTGGTGACATTACTGTGTCGATTCTGGTGTTGTAGGTATGGCTAGTATTGACAGCAGTGCTCCTGAAACCACCTCTGACAGTTCTCCAACACTCAGTCGGCGTCCGCTACGTGGGGGATGGGCAACAACATCCTGGGGCAGAGGACAGGACAGTGACAGCATCAGCAGTTCTTCAAGCGATTCGCTGGGATCTTCCTCTTCCAGTGGCAGTAGGAGAGCTAGTGGGGGAGCCCGTGCAAAGACTGTGGAAGTTGGCAGGTAATGAATAATACCAATGCATGGAGGCATCAGCACCTCTCTAGGCCTGATGTCAGAGAACTAGCGAGTGTGCATCAGGAAGCACTTCCTTGGGAGCATTTGCTTTGTTTCCTCTGGACCCTAAAGACAGGAACTCTGCACTGCAGCTAGTGAACTTGGAGTATTTGTTGCGGTCTGAAAGGTTCCTCTGTCTTTTTCCTCTAGATATAAAGGGAGGCGGTTGGAGAGCCATGCTCCTCATGTCCCAAACCAGCCCTCAGAAGCAGCTGCTCACTTCTACTTTGAACTGGCCAAGACAGTCCTTATCAAAGCAGGTGGAAACAGCAGTACCTCCATCTTCACCCACCCTTCCTCCAGTGGTGGGCACCAGGGACCACACCGCAACCTTCACCTCTGCGCCTTCGAGATTGGGCTGTATGCACTAGGGCTGCACAACTTTGTGTCTCCCAACTGGCTCTCTCGAACTTACTCCTCCCATGTCTCTTGGATCACAGGTTACAGCAAAACTTCATTGGGAAGCTTGGTTTTGGGCAGGAAGGAGGGGAGGGAGGCAAGCTTATGCCCAAAAATGGTGATGCTGATGGGCTGTGGTATCCATGTAAGCTGGCTGGCACAGCTGGCAGTACAGGCTGAGCACCAGTGATTTACATGGTGGTGATTGTTTTGCCCTGGAAGGTTCTTGTGACCTGTTTCTTGTTTATGCTGCAATGTCCTTCAGTCCCCAGAGCCATAGACCACTTCTCACACAGAGACTGGTCTTAACTTCTGCTTCGAGGGTCTCCTGAAGAGACAGACGTTTGTCAAGTTTGACCATGCTCTTTGGCTGTGTTCAGGATTTCACTTTCTTCCTCCTTCTGTTTGCACCCAGATCTACTACCTACTTTCTATCCACATGGCTTCTAGAGCCTGAAAAACAAACCCTTGAAAAGTCATGTTTTCCTGACACAATGGAAATAGAGCGACAGTCCAGGCCGTGGTTTGTGGTTACTAAAATCAGCTGTAGCGAGTTCTTCTCACTGCCTCAAAAGCATCTTTAGCTTAACTTTGATAATGGTACCCTCACTCACTGCTTGCTTATTGAGGGCTCTTGCCTGTCCTCTGTTTTGGGAGGAAGAGCCTAAATTTGACTTAGAACTTAAGGGGAGCAACTGGGCTCTGCCGCGGCTCCTGAAAGAAGTGAGAGGTGCACCTCCTGTTGAGGAACAGCTGACTGGAACTGTGCTGGGTATACAGTGGTGTGAGAATCTTCTCTTTTACTCATAGGGCAGGCCATGGAGATTGGTAGCGCAGCCTTGAACATCTTGGTGGAGTGTTGGGATGGACATCTGACTCCCCCGGAGGTGGCATCGTTGGCAGACAGAGCTTCACGGGCCAGAGACTCCAACATGGTGCGGGCTGCTGCTGAACTGGCACTCAGCTGCCTGCCCCATGCCCATGCCCTGAACCCAAATGAGATCCAGAGGGCTCTGGTGCAGTGTAAGGAACAGGTGAGCATCGCATGGGGGCTGGCTAGCACAAGCTCATTTCCAAGCATCAAGGACATGCTGTTACTTGTGGGATTGGCTCCTCTGCCACTGGGCAGCCTTAATCCCAGTTCTGTGGATTTCTTATGTTTCATGAATAACTCTAGTTATTCTGCTGCATAGTTGTGATCTGTCTGCTCTTCATAGCGTCAGTCATTTTAGAGTGCCTTATGCTTTTCTCCTGTTGTAGTTTTGCCCCCTTGTATTTCTGGTTTTGCATTCTTCACTTCTGCTTGTCTTTCACTGCCCCCAGGACAATCTGATGCTGGAAAAGGCCTGTATGGCAGTAGAAGAGGCAGCCAAAGGAGGTGGTGTGTACCCAGAAGTCCTCTTTGAAGTAGCTCACCAGTGGTACTGGCTTTATGAACAGACTGTTGGTGGGACCCCAGCGCAGAGAGAAGGTGCCACTGGCTGCAGTGCCAGTGGTGCGCGGGCTGCCTCTGAAGCAGCACGTGGGTTGACAGACAACCGGGTGACCTCTGAGCCGACCACTGTTACAGTGGCAGCTGCGGTAACGGCAGCAGCAACAGTCATGCCGGTGATCTCTGTGGGGTCGACTATGTATCAGCAGCATACAATGGCAGGGCCGGCAATGGCACATACACACACGCAAGGCCTCCACCCTTACACCACCCTTCAGACTCACATCCCCTGTAATCCCCAGTATATTGGACACACTATCCAGCACATGCCGCGCCCAGCTGTCTTCCCGGTGCCTGGCTCAGCGTACCCGCAGGTGAGTTTTGTCTGTGCCTTGTTCGTTTACGGTGACTTTGTGTGGCTGCTTCCAGAAGGAGTACGTCTGACTGGGGAGAGCATGAGGCTCAGACTTGCTGTGGCTTGAGATCTATCTTCTGCTCTCACTTACTTGCTGATTTGTGATACTTACTTTGGCTCCCCAGCTCAGCTTTTGCATTATAAGGAGCCTTCTGTGGGTGCATGTAAAGTCTCAAGAGAATGTAAAATACAATACATTAGCAGTTTTTAATTTCTATTGGTCTATAGTTTCTCAGAAGGCACTGGACAGAAAGCCTGCCTTCTTGAGAGCTTGCAGGCTAAATAGACACTACAGAGGGAAAACCAAGCAAAGGTTATTTTAACCTCTGCTTATTTTTTAAAGTTCTTGGAGTGGTTTTCTGCAAACTGATTAGATTTAAAAGGAGGAGGAGCAAGAAGTTGTAATGGTCATGTGGTGGAACGTATTTCTGTGCTGATTCTTCCTGTGCTTCCTCCTCCCTGTCAGATTGGACTTCGAATGCTCTGGGGTTTGTGTGGGGACTACTTCTAAAGAGCCCGATGAAGTAGACGTGACTGTTGTTTATTTTTTTATTTTAGGGTGTCCATCCAGCATTCATAGGAGCACAGTACCCTTATTCGGTAACAACACCATCATTGGCAGCTACGGCAGTGTCATTCCCTGGTGTGCCGGTCCCATCCATGACACAGATTGCGGTGCATCCCTATCACAGTGAGACAGGACTGTCGCTGTCTTCCAATGTAGCGAGTAAGTGTTACAGCCCTGGGCTGTGCATAGCGTAGGTTTATTTACTGTGCCTCCTAGCTGTACCCCAGTCAAGTCCTGCGCCTCATTGACCACAGGTGGAACCATGGTTCATACACTGAAAAGTTCCGACCAAATCTACCCAAGCCTAAAGATGCGCATGCTCAGGGTTACTGGGATTCATGATGTTGTCTGATTCAGCTAGTGGAGCTTTAATTTCTGTTTAGCTAAATTTCCAGTATGAGATTATTTTGGCCTCAGACTAAAGTGTGTTTGGAGCCCTCCTGGCTTTTCTGACTTCTAACTTATTAGAGATTTATTCCCCTTCTCCTTAGGGCAGGGTGAGCATAGAAGATCTTGGGCAGGCTCTTGTGGTTCCTTTAGGTCAGACGAACAGAGCGCGGGAAGCAGGCAGCAGGCAGCCTTCTGCTACAGTAGCACTAATAGATGTCTCTCCTGTGCGAAGGGATTGGAGGCAGCCAGTACCTGAAATGTGGAACTTCTGTAGAGAGGACAGATGTTTTGGCAGGATCATGTCAATGGCAATCTGAACGACTGCTCACATGTTGTGTTAGGGCTAGAGCGGTGGTGAAGACCCATCAAGTAGTGTGCAGCACTGGAGCAGCAGATGTTGACTGAATTGTGGATGTGCTCTCACTGCCATGGGGTTTTGCACCAGTGGGTCACAGTTGACCCAGGCTCTGTTATCCCCTCACTGGAGAGGCTGTAATGTTTGCCTCTTTGTACATTTGCTTATCAATGCTTCGCAACTCACCAGGTGCTGGAAGACTGGTACATGGGAAAACGCTTAAGAGCTGTGTTGGCCTCCTTCATATCCAGATTATCAGGAGAATCTTTTCAGTTATTTTTATCTTGCGTTTTGATGCTAAAAAGCCACCACAAAAGCAATTGGAATAGTCCAGAAGGCCTCAGGATCTGAAGAGCATCCTTTGCTGACAGCCTTAGTCCTGGACTGATGCTGTGACTCTTAATTGTGAGAAACCATTTCTGTACTCCTCCAAAGAGTTATGAATCTTCCAGAACTGCTAACTCATCCTAGAGCACTTAAAATAATTAAAGGAAAAAACAACTCCACCCTTTCCAGTTGCCATTGTTTATAGCTTGCATAAACTTCTGTTTCCAATTCTTAAAACACTGTTTCACTGTTCCTGGAGTACAGAGTCAAGTGATGATGCTTGAGCTCTGGCAACAATTCAGCTCATTCTTACGGGTTACTCTCCTTGGCCAGACTTCAAATGCAGCACGGATTTTGCCCCACTTTGTGGGTTGTTTGGCATTGTGTGTTTGCTTGGTTGAGGAGGTCAGACAGATCTTTCCTGGGAGGCACACTGTTCTCAGGTATTCAACTATTCACTAGTAAACATTTAAAAAAAAAAAAAAATGCTGGAGGTAGCAGGGGAAGAGGAGAATCGGAACTTGGAGCATTGCCCAAGCTGGTGTAGTAGCACCACAGAGAAGCTGTGAAATAAGGGTAAGAATGTGCATACACCTAATGGCATCTCTACTTTGGAATTCTCAGCCAAACCTTGCTTTTTCCTCTCTGTACCTTTCTTGAGAGGGAAAGTTAGACAAACTTGAGTCCCTTGTCAGACTACAGCTTACTGGCTCACTGTTAACTGCTGTTTAGGTGGTACAATATAATGGATTTTCCTGTGATTTCCCTTGATTTTGCCCATACTAGTTAAGTGTCTGAAGGTGACAGAGCTTCTCAAGTTTCCTTGCTGTTTTTACTGTTGGTATGCGCTGCCAGTGTATGCAATGGCTGTTCTTTCTGAGGATGGATTGGAGGCTAGCCTCCAGTAACCCTCTTCCTGCATGGTAGCTGGATGGAGTCATAGCTGTCTTACAGCAGAAGTGGAGGAACCTCACAATGCTGGACTCTATCTTTGAGTGACTTAATGCTGTTCCTGCGCAATGATGTTACTCAGCCGTTTCTCATCAGGTGTAGACATGCACATGCTTGTTTCCTTGGACAAGAAATCGGAACCAGACATGTCATTTAATAATAGCAAAGACCTTTGAGTCGGCACATGTATAAAACATGGATGATGTGCATGTTCATGGTATACTGAAAAAGAGATGGACAACCATGTAACTGACCCCCTTCGGGCCCTGCTTACAAACAAAATAGAGATATTCCTAGCCCATTGTATTTCAGTTGTAAGTCTGTGGTTTTTGGTTGCTGTATTGTTCTGTTTAGGGGAACAGAACACTGCATTGGCAGGGGGCGGTCAGGTGAGGGAGATGATGGCCCAAGTAAACCTTCTTTTAGGCTGGTGGTGGGTCCTAATGCTGCTGTTTTGCTCTCTTCAGTAGGAAGTGTCCATGCAGGATCAACGTTCCCAGCGATTCAGGGGGCTTCCTTGACAACTCTGTCCTCACAGCCCAACTCCCTTGTTACAGGGGGTTTTCCTGCCGAGGATGAGCAGCACAGTCAGCCTGTGAGCCCCCAGGGTCTGCACTACCTCCACTCCGCATACCGAGTTGGTAAGGATGGCCAAGTGGGTTTCTGTGGCCCCCTTGAGAGGGATTCAGGGCAGGTTTTCACTATCATTTGGCAATTTGCTACTGCACCTGTTGGGGGTGATGGCATCTTAGTTACATGGGGAAAGCCAGTTCATGATCATATGTGGAGGCTAAAAATGGAGACAAAGCAATAGAAGATTGAACAGTCGCTGTTGAGAGCCATCGGAGTAGAAGAGAAAGCTGAGTGGGTTAGAGCTGGGAAGAGTCTTGCCTTTCAGCAGATGTATGCAAAGGAGTCTGGATAAGACTCTGAGGATGTGGTTGTGTAAGTTGTGACTATGTGAAAAAATGGGGTTCAGCTCCTGCTGCTCATGGATGGTGCAGGCACAACCTCTAGTTTAATAACACCAGTTGAGTCTTCAGAGGTGCAGAGGGATGTGCCCTGTGCCTCTCCAGCTAGGTTGTTGAAGACTGACATGGGCAGAACTTACATTTTGTGGGAAGTGGGTATGTAATTAGCATTTTCCCAGTCATACTGGTTATGAGGAAATAGAGTCTCTGCCTGAACTGCCATTGGTACAAGGATATCAGTTTTGGGTTTATGATTGAGCTTAGATTGCAGTAAGCTACTCATACATAGTCATGGTCTGACCCAGTGGATACCCAGGGAGGGAGAAGGGAGCCTCTAAGATAAGCAAAGCCAGCCCAGGGCAGCAAACAAAAAAGAAACAGCAAGAAAATGGAAGGAGGGCTATCTGTAGGTTGCTTATGGTTTTTTTTTTTTTGTTGTTGTTGTTGAAAGCTAGAGAAGAAAGTACTCGTTAGCCAGAAAAGGGTGCAGATGTCACTGGAAACATCGCAGTGGTAAATGATAAGCCATGAAAGGTGTTTACTAGCCTGAATAACAGAGAAGGGGGTGAGGAAAGAGGGTCTGGAAGATCAAGACATAGTGCCTGTTGGTATTTTAAAACTTTTTAAATGGGAGGATGTTCTTGAAGAACTGTACTGGAAATGTTTGCAGATTGGCAATACTGCAGCTCAGTGTTGGCCTGTTGTCTTGCAGCTGAGTAGGCTGATGTGAGTAGCTTCTCTTCTGCAAAATTTGAGGCAAATGCATTGCTTTCAGGACACCTCTTGTAGTGCAGCCTTTGGGGCTATCTGCTTGACCCTGCTGTAGGAGCTAGTGCAGTGTCTCTTTGCAGCTCTAGTGAGGTGTGATGGCTGTGCAGATTTCCCAGCCTGGAGCAGCAGATCCAGATGTTCTTGCGGATACTTCCTGTGGTGACAGGCTCCAAGATGGGCCTTCTGTTTCTCCCTGGACTCCCTGCAGCTAGGGATTTTTCTGCTGATGAAGGGCAGGCCAATCAGGTTGTGTTGCAGTGAGTGAAGTGCTAGACTAAGTCTTACCGGGCAGAAGTGCTCCTTGACTCTGGCTGCCCCTTTCTCACAGGGATGCTGGCTCTGGAGATGCTTGGCCGAAGAGCTCACAACGACCATCCCAACAACTTCTCCCGCAGCCCACCCTACACAGAGGATGTAAAATGGCTCCTTGGGTTAGCTGCAAAGTTAGGTAAGGCTCAGAGCAGTACTTCAGCAGAAATCCACTTGCTGGGATTTGGACAATGGTGGGAAAAAGCTCTCCAAAGAGTGAAGCTTCAAAGATTGGGTGAGCCTGGTATCTGATCCCATTTCTGAGAATGTTTCAGAAGATCCCTGCTGCTCTTTCACCTAGGCATTTGTACCATTTCTGGGTTCTGTAGGCATGCTGTTGAATTTTGAGGCACTGGATGAAGTGCATGGGGTTGGACAGGGCTCAGAACTTGTATCTCTTCCATTCTACAGCAACAATTTTTTCTTGTCCCTTTCCACTATCTTGTAGGTATTCCTCTTATGTATATTTACACCTTCTGTGAAGACCTTTTATAGCAATAGGTACTCAAACCACCAATTGTTTGGTTTTTTTTTGTTTTTACTTCCACTTTGCTCTTGGATCTTTTTTGTCAGTTCATTTTTTTTAATTCTTTCTTCAGCAGTAAGAACTTAAAACCCCCCCAAACCTCTACAAACAGCCTGCCTAGTGGCATGGCTTCTCCTGCTGCTGCTGGGGGAGCGCCACTGTAGGCAGCAGTGGGGAAACTTGACTGTCTCTCCAGGCTCCCTAAGGCCTGAGTGCTGGAGCATCTAGGTGCTTCCTAGATGGGGAGGAAAGGAGGAATGGGAGGAGGTGCAGCGTATCCTTTCCTCTGTAGTTACCTTGTACATCAGTTTTCTTTCATATCCCCTTTAAAGACAGGTGAACTGGGAATATCAGTGACTGAGGTGGTACCTGGTCTCTACTCAGACCTGATGGATATAGCAGAATGATCTCTTGTCCCCGTGAGTTTGCTAGAGTGTCTCCCCCAAGCCTGCTGGAAGATACATTGCACTGAGAAGAAGGTGCTCTAAATCCAGGTTGCTGCTGGGAAGTACCTGATTTCTTGTGTTTCTCTTGCCTTAACACTGTTCTGATTTCTCCTTCCTGCGCAGGTGTAAACTACGTGCATCAGTTTTGTGTTGGTGCAGCCAAGGGTGTGCTGAGCCCTTTTGTGCTCCAGGAGATCATCATGGAAGCTCTGCAGAGGCTCAACCCTGCCCATGTGCACAACCACCTGCGCACCCCAGCCTTCCACCAGCTGGTGCAGAGGTGCCAGCAGGCCTACTTGCAGGTAACGTGTGGCCTGTCTTCCTGCCTGTCAAAGCTGCCAGGCCATTGCCTGCCTTGCAGGTACTGCCTCTGTGTGTGTGTACATGTGCGTGTGCAGAGGGGAAGGGACCTTGGGTACTGGTAGGTGAACTGGTCCATTGCCTGATGTTCCCCTCTCCCTCAGCAGGCACTAGAATAGGCATCGCTTGCCTGTATGGAGGCTGCATCATTGTACTGCTTCTTCCAAGGCCTCTCGCCTCCTGTGCTCGCCACGAAGGATGAGGTGGTTCTGTGTTCCCCATCCACTTTCTTCCTCTCTCCAAATGTTACCTGTACCTTTTGACTTCTGTACTTTTTCTCTGCTATGTTTTCAGGCCCCTGTCCACCACCCTTCCTAGCCTATCTTGTTTTTAATTTCCTTGTTTGTAGCCTGTCTTGCCTTGTCATGAAGCCCTGGCATGGCTGTCTGGTATGCCAGTGCTGGCACTATTAGTAGAAGTGGCTTGGTCAGCTACCAGCATGGATGAGATATCTCAGGATTTACTGAAAACAGGAGAAGTGTGTTTCAGTGAGCCAGCTGGAATACCAGACCTGCCTGTTCCTGAAAACAGTGTAAACAGGATACCCCACATGTACCTACTTCTCTTGAATAAAAGACCAGAAGGGTGATTCTGTAGACATACTGTCCAGGTTGGATTAGCTGTCCTATCACCTAGGTGATATTCTTGAGAAATTACAGCTGCTTCACTTCAGCTCTTTTTCTGAGCTACATTAGGGAAATAGATTTCTCAGAAGTTGGACCTGCAGTTTTGGGGCCTTAGTTGAGAAGCTGATAGAAGTGACAGTGCGAGAGATATTTTGTAGCAACTTACTGTAAGCCTTACTCCTTCCATACCTGTTAGCAAAGAAGATGTCCAGTGAATGTGCTGGGTCCCCATGTATAACCTGCAGAATGAATGGGTATGGGGGTTAGATGCTGGTGGTTGGTGGGGTAGAGTGTTAGCTGGCCCTTTTGTGCTGTACTATGGCACAATTTGGTGCTTATGAAGGAGAGAACACCTGCTGATGCTGTGTGGCGCATTTTGGTGCTCTAAGGGGACACGGACCTTGGTCATGGTAGGATGTAAGGTACAGCACTGCTGTCTTTTGAGCTAGCTCTCCTCTGTCAGAGCTTCTGAGTCTTGGGACCTCTCGTGGGGTAACAGGATCGTGTGACATATCGCCCTGGGAGCTCTTGAGTTTTCCTCTGAGTGTCACCAGCATGAGGGTGGTGAGCAGATACCTGAAGGCTGTTTCCCTGTTCCCATCCAGTACATCCATCATCGGCTGATCCATCTCACTCCAGCTGACTACGATGACTTTGTGAATGCCATCCGCAGCGCCAGAAGCGCCTTCTGCCTGACTCCCATGGGCATGATGCAGTTTAATGATATTCTCCAGAACCTAAAGCGCAGCAAGCAGACAAAGGAGCTGTGGCAAAGGGTCTCTCTGGAAATGACCACCTTCTCGCCGTGACAACAAGCAGAGCTCCATGGACACACAACCCTTTGCCCTGCATAGTTGTAGTTCCATTTACACCATCCTTCCTTCTGGTGTCTTTTTTTTTATTTTAGTTTTGACTTGTTGGAAACCACTGATCTGATGTATTTATACCATGACATTCCTCTCCAGCACTGTTGCGTGTTGGCGCTCTGCTTTGCTCGCTCTTCCTCCTCCTTCCCAGTGGGCTGCAGGCTTCAGAAGCATCAGGAAACGAGAAGGAAGTTGAGCTGGCTGCCCTGTGGTGTAGTCACCGCTTTTTTCCCTGAGCCCCTGGAGGCTGTCTGGCGAGCAGTTTGCAGTGTGATTACGCACGTGTTAGAGGGGTGGGGGATTCTGTCTTAAATATTTATTTTGGCATTTATAAATATGTAAACTTTTTTTTTTTTTTGTATGGGCTTCTCTTACTCCACACACCATCTCCTGTCGGGAGAGGCTGGGACTGCTGTGCACAGCCAGTGCTCCCTCCATTCCTTTCAGCACCTCTTGCTGAGAGAAGCTGAGACTGGAGTAGCAGGGCCAGGGCTACCTCTGTGGCTTTCTGCAGCAGCTGCTGAGGGCAGAGGCTGGAGCTTGAGCAGTCGGAGTCCATGACTGCTCTGAGCTGCCTGGAGACTGCCAGAAGTGCTTGGGCTCTTTCTCAGGAGTGTCCCTCACTGGACACTGCTGGCTCATGGGATGTTTTGATCCTGGTCGTTCCAAGTTGTACAATCGTGTTTCTTTTGGCTGAGGTATTACTCTCCTGTAATCAGTTTCTTATCCCTTGTCTCTTCTCGTTTCCTGATTAAACACTCGTTTTCTTAGACTGACTCTCTTCTCTCTGCTATGATGTTGACAGTCCGATGGAGCTGGCCAGCTGTGAGTCAGTGGGAGCTCCTGTGAGCCCTGGTGGATAGCTGTCCTGCCTTGGGGAACAGCAGTCCAGCACAAGGCAGGTGGCCAGAGCTTTTATACAAGCTGTGAGCCAGAAGTTCCTTGCCTGGTACTGCTCTGAGAATGACATGCCTCTGCAGAGGCTGAGGTACGTGCAGACTGGGTCGTTGATGGGTGTCAGGGGAGTTGGTGGTAAGCCTGGGATGTTCTGCCTACACCTCTGCCAACCACCAGGTTCCTTTTCTGGTCTTGACACCAGTGATACTGTGTGGTAATGCGGAGCTTTGTATTTCCAAAGTATTGTGCAAAACAGTAGCTGCTCACTCTTGATGTAATTGTTAAAGAAGGCTAGTGGTCTGCTCCCATGCGTTTAGAGGGATGTTTGGTGGACTATGTAAGATATCCAATAGGGACAGTATTGCAGAAAATTAATTCTAGAAAGCTTTTATTTTTATGCTAAGGAAATTTAAAAGGCTACTGCCATTTGTAAGCATACAAGCACACAAATTTCAGGGCTTTTAAAACTGGAAGTCAGATGATGGATGGATGTTAAGAATCCCGTTTCTCAGTAGTAATGTATTTTGCTTCTTACTTGGGTTTAGCCAATGACAATGGGGAGCTTTTAGTTTCTGCAAGCTAGAAATATGTGCCTGTTTGTGTTTGATATTTTCAATGATACTCTTAAAAAAAATAAACTAACTCACTTATAGGCATAGGGAAAAACAGATGAACAGGCTCCCGTGGTTTGACTTTGTGTACTGCGCAGGCCAGAGAGAGTGACTGAGGTTCCTCTGCTTCTGATTGTACCACAGTAACCATTCAGAGATCTCCTTACAGCCCCTTGCATTCCTCCATAAGGTGTCTAGTTACATGCTAATTATGTATACTGATGTTTTTAAGAATGTGTTAAGTTTTGAGGGTTTTAAACTAAACTCCATGTTGATTATGAGCTGCGTGTTATTGGGCAGAACTCCTGGATTTGACTGGAGAGCACAGCCTGATGTCCAGGTTTGGGTGGCTGGAGCACTTTCTGTGCTCTCTGGTTCTTGCATGTTCAGAACTGGGAAAGGAGTTTGGAGAAAAATGAGTTTTCTAATAAAGTCTAATCTTTCCCTTTCTACTGCTTATAAGAGAAGATTAGGGGAAGAGAAGGGAGCATCTTCTAGAAGGAAAGAAGGGAAATGGGCAAAAGAGCTGAATGTGTTAAGTATCAGGAGCAGAAGTGACTCTTACTGCATCAAGGATTTGGACTGAATAGGGAAATGAAATGGCAGAGCCTTATCTGTGATATCTATTAGAAGACTACACTTAGACCATGAGCAGGCAAGTTTTCAGACTACTGTAATTAAAAACCACCAGGAGGATGAGAGCACTGTCACCAGTATCTTTGTTTTGGGAAAATACAGTGGAGCTGCTTACCGAGAGGTTAGAATGGACTTTATCTGGAAGTGTACTTGCTTTCAGTCTGTGTAGTCCCCAGAAAGACCATAAGAGAAAAGAAATCACAATGCCCATTATCTTTCACTGTGCTCAAAACTTTCTCTGTTTGGTTATTTTACCCATTCTAGTCCTCATACAGATTGCACTGCTTCCATATGACAGACCCTGTCAGAGTTGTCTTCCAGCAGCTGCAGAGCCCAAAGAGAGGAAGAGCCGGGGAATCTCACCTCAGGCTGACATTGACTGAACAAGCAGCTCAGTGGTATAAGGCACAGGTCAGTAATTTCAGAATTTTCCAGTCTTTTCTCTGTAAAAAATTCTCAGAGTGAGCAGAGAGATGGGAGCTGTGTGGAGGTGCTGCACACTCATTTACTCAGGTCTTCCGGAACACACTTTCAGTCCTGGATCTCTGTATCTGTTAATCTGTTGCCGTTCCTGAGCCATATCCCATGGAAATGTATCTGAGCAAGGACAGGAGAAAGGAGAAAGTGACAAAGGAGAGGATGATGTTTTTTCTTGCCATGTGGCTGGGAGGTTTTTGAGGTATTTTTCCTTATAGGAGATGAGATGAGCCCTGGTGGCCTGAGAAGCATTAATCTACTATTAAAGCAGGAAAATTATTACCCAGTGCAGTCTTGCTAGTTTGCTCACTATTCCAGGAGTGGGGAAATACTTAGGCTCAGAAATTCTGAAAAGTCATTTCAGCAGAAGACCTGTAAAGGAGCAGGGGTTGCAGCCAACTCAAATTTCCTTTAACTTTCAGTTAACCCATGTGTTTTTTCACTTGGAGTAAGTGTTCTCTAGGTCCTCGCCCTTACCAGCAACATATGAAATGGCTGCAGTGAAGGCCGGCCGGGACGGCCAGCTGCCACAGCAGCTGGATGCTTTAGATCTCTTCCCGTGTAGAAATGGTTTTACATAGATGAGAAACTTTTCTGTGTTTGCTACCACCTCTTTCCAGGCTGGGCAGCAAATGCTGAATTTAGTCAGTACTAATAGCTACAGGTATTTGTCTGGATAGGGCCTGGCCCCCGCTTGCATGAAGACAGATGATATTCTATGATAGGAGACCTCACAATGGGTTATTGTCATATTTGGTGAAGTCTAATTCACTGTCCATTCCTTGAAGGTAAGGTGAATGAGGTCTTTAGACTTTACTTCCTGTGTCTTATATTCACAATGACTTGTTTTCACTTGCCAAATTTGTTTCCCCTTGTGACCATAGGAAATATACTTTCCTTTTTAGCTGTTAGTGTCTCTGGAAATAACAGCTCGCTTCAGTGGGGAGTTGGAGAAGTCAAATTTGTACAGGTGCAGATGAAGCCAACTGAGAAGTGGCTGATGTCTTCACTGCAAGATATCTGTAGGCTGGTTTTCACTATCCTGCTAGTGTTGAAGACTGAACTGCTTAATAGTCCTAATGAGGGCAGTGTGCTAAGGGCAGCCTTGCACTCTGAGTTAACCCACTGTCTGCACTTGAAGTTTTGTGGGTACTTCAGCTAAACAATCAGGCATGGTGCATAGATGTGCATTTTAATGCTCTGCCCAAGGATCAGTACATGCAGATAAAAGCAGATCATGATCCAGTTTTAGGATCTTATCCTAGAATCATAGAATGATTTGGGTTGGAAGGGACCTTTAAGATCATCTAGTTGCAACACCCCTGCTGCAGGCA